CCGCCGCCGCCGAGTCCGGCATGACCCCTCCGCCCTCGTCCGCCTCCGCGCCCGCCTGTTCGGACGGCTCCAGGAAGGGTCCGGGTGAAGGTCCGGGTGACGGCCCCGTGACGGCTCCGCCCCTCGCCCGGCCGCGCGCCTCTCCGCTGCCAGAGTCGGCGGCCGACGGGCGGGGCGACTCGTCCGCGCCGGTCAGGTCGGAGATCTCCTGCTGGCGCGATCATGATGACTACTCGTGTGTGATTATTATGATTCTTCGCATGTCGGAGATGACCTGCTTGAGGCGCGAGCGCAGCGCCCCGAAACCGGCGCCGAGGCGAGAGCCGAGGGTGGATCCCATCGCAGACGCCATCTTGGCCGTCGCCTTGGCGGTGGACTTGGCGTGGGCGCGCGCCGCGACGGCGGAGGAGCCCTCCCCCTCCAGGGAGAGGAAATCCGCCAGCGCCTGTGGCGGTGTGGGGACGGTGTGGGGAAGAAGAGGGGAGCGCGCCGTGAGGCGTGAGGCAGCGCGGAAGGGGTGAGCAGGAGGCGCGGGGAGGGAGCACGACGGCCGCACCTCTGCAAAATCGGACGCGCTCGAGGCGTGGGCGGAGGAGAGGCGCGCGCACGCCGCGAGGCCCACCGGATCGTCGAGCAGCCCGGCGAGCGGCTCGAGCACGTTTTGGGCCAGCTGCTGCCGCTGCAGGACATCCGCCTGCTCGAGCTGCTCAAAGGCTGCGGCGAGGCCGTCGAGGCGCAGCGGCTCGCCGCCGTCCGGAGCACTCTGCACAGCCTGCAGGAGCACGCGCTGCAGGTCGCGCCGCGCCGCCGCCGCCGCCGCAAGCGCCCGCTGGTACTCTGCCGCCTTCTCGACGGCGAGTCCCACTGTCTTTGTCATTCCGACCACGTCGCGCTTGGCCACTCCGAGCGCCTCGCGGTACGCCGGCGTGTCAGACTCGATCGCACGCTCGAAAACGTCGGTCGCCGAGAGAGTCATCACCTCCTTCAGCGCCCGAGCGCAAGATGCATGCTGCAAAAGAATTTTAATCGGGCGCTCACAGGCACAAACACAGGCCATAGTCGAGAGAGATCGCCAGTGGATAGGGAGTCCACCGTGCTGCGAGCCTGTCGCTGTCCCTTGTCAGGAGCAGGAGAACTAGGAGAGCGCAACCAGTAGGAGGCCCGCGCTTGCCCCCGTGCCGCCGGGTGCAACCTGTCCTATACGAGAGAGGAATCCCTGGGACCCTGTCGTGAGGGTGAACCCCCTGCCCAGCCCCCCTCCGTGTCGCGATGCGCTCCCCGCTCCCGTTCCCCTGTGTCCCTGATCGTCCTACAAGATCCTGCTCGTGCAGGTGGGGACCCTGTCCTTCTCCCACCCCTCGTTTGGCGTGTCCGTTGTATTTATTTATTTATTTAACACAGGCCATCCCTCCCTTGGGTTGTCCGTTTTCTTTCTTTCTTTTTAAACACAGGTACACCAAATGCAAAAGAATTTTACCCGGGAGTACGACACTGGGCACGGGCATGTGTGGTGGCGGCGTGCCGTCCTAAACGTCGCGTCGAAGTAGTACGTCGCAAAGCTGTCCTCTCGGAAGATCTGCAAGTTCTCCGCGTAGAACCGCTCACTGAACTCGACCCAGAAGCGAAGGCCGCCCACGTTTGGCCTCGAATCTATCGCATTCCGGTAGCTTGGTGGAAGGGGCGGCTCAAAGGCAATGGCCCCGTCTTGGAGCACGGCGAGTGGCACGGCCATGACGACGGACTTGGCTTGATAGGTCTGCCCGCTCGAGGTACAGACCGTGACCCAGTCACCATCGCTGTAGTTCACCGTGGTCACGCGGGTGTCCAGCTCGATCTTGCTGTTCACATACGGGATGACGTACCTGGAGAGGTAGCCAAAGTAGGTTCCGTTGACAAACACATCCTCGACAATTCCCGACCCATCGAGCGTCTCGCACGTCACGCTGCCGCCGCTGCTGATGTCGCACGAACGCGTGTTGTCAGGGTCGAAGAGGGACACCGGGGTGTCAAAATCCTCATCTTCGTTCAGGTCAAGAACCTGTCGCAACCCGTCGATGCCATTGAACGCGAACGCCGCGCCGAGGTCGAGCCGGAAGCCGTCTCCGGTAAAGTCTGCAGGGACGTCCCGGATCCGGCCACCAACACTGGACGACGCTTCCAGGAGCCGGAAGGACTCGTAGCCATTCCGCTGCAAGGTGTATCCGGCGAAGAGGCCGGCGCCGCCGGCACCGACAATCACCGTATCCAGCACCGTGCTCGAGGAGGACGGGGAGCACGTAGCTGGCGTCGATTGTGGCGGCGAGGGCGAGGGCGAGGACGCGGGCAGCGACACGTGGAGGGACACCACATCGAACCCGGCAGTCGACGAGGCCTCTCCCGCATTCTTCAGCGCAACGCTGAGCACCTGACCAGCGCTCGCCGCGTCTGCCGTCCACTGCGTCTCGAGCCGCGTCCAGATGGAGGGCCAGCCGTCGACCCAGTTCACCTTGCGGATCCCCATCACGTCTTCGGCGGCGCCGTCCTGGCAGAGGGGAGAGGGAGGTCAGG